GACAGCATCATATTGAACTGCCATGTGAAGTGGATTGTGGGTAAATCTAAAATGAGTGAGCAGAGGATCCTCCTCAGGACTGCTTTGTCTGGTTGCTCTTTCACAGTTCAGTACAATCTGACTTCATGTTATAAACAGCAAACTTCTTGTTCAGTGAGTCAAAACAATGCACTAAAGAATGTTCCAGTTACGGTGAAATCCACCATCCACAAAGCATCCATGACAAACGCAAATAGCTCGACAACCAGAATCACAACTTGGATGATGAATATGTGGTTCAGAACAATCTACTAAAATATAGACAGTACTTGAAAACATATACTGTCCAAAAGGAGTTGTACCAGACCTTCTAAACAACATCTAAAAATGGCTAATTTTAGACTGTGACCTAGCGGAGGAGAGGAAGGAAGTAAGCAGGCAGAGTGGGTGGGTGGTCGGAGAGATGCCAAGACGAGGAGGTGATGAGGTGAGTGCGGAGACTGTGTGAGCTGCATTTAGAGTCACGGCTCTGGACAGGGCAAAGAGGACACACCTTCCGGTGCAGTTGACCGAGAGAGCTGGAGAGATTGGCAAGAAACCCAATGAGCACAGACGGGAAGTCCGCCTGCTGCCCATGCAAACACACACACACTACTAAGCAACGACACACACTACACAGCAACGACACAGACGCCAGCCAGCTAGTGATCCATGCCACTTCCAACACCAGCAGGGCCAGACCCAGGCCCAGACCCAAAACCAGGCCCAGACCCTGGGGCAGAGCAAAGACGACTGTGTCCTGTCTGCGCCACAAACTTCGACATATTTATTAAACTTCAATCAAGTTGTCTCAACACGGAAATGTAGTAGTGACTAGTTTTGTTGTCTCTTGTCTCAGAGGCTGTTCACGAGAACGCTGCGATAGTAAACTGATAATGTTGGGTATTGGTTTGGCCTTTTGTCTACACAAAAACATTGTTTCAGGGGGCTGAAAACGCTAGCGTTAAGAAACAGCCTCCGGAGTGGAACAGAACAGATACGCTTCTCAGCGGGGGCTGCTTCACAGCTGTGTGAAGATTAAGGTGTGAATTCTCTGCTGCTATGACCTCAGCACTTCCCCGCACGTACATTTGGACATGCGCAGTAGCTGAGAACAAATGTAAACAATAATGGCGTGTGCTTTGAGCGCTACACGGAGGAGAATTATACTCCTTCGTCCGTCCAAACAAAACAGCGCAAAGCTGTAGTTTCAGTTTCCATTTTTGCAGCTTTTAAATGCATGAATGATGTTGGTGCATTATAACCCGGCTTTACAATGGCCTGAGGAGGATGCTGTTGCGGAAGTGGTCAGACTAGTGGGGGTCACGCGTGTCATGTTGTAAAGTTCCACTGCCCCCTACTGGAGGGTGCTGAAATTACATTGTTTTCATTTCGCAAATTGCTTTGCAGCGTTTCTGCAGCAGCTCCGTCTAAACGGGCCTCAGTCTACATAAAGAAACAGTGGACATTATGTGAACTCACATGTCTAGTCATTTTATATTTTGCATTAACATTTTTGAGATATATAAATACTAATAAAAGAGACATATAGGACAACATACTGACATCACAATTGTGGGGATACATTGACCGGACAGTGATTTACAAATGTTCCTGACTAACTGTTACACAAGGTTTGAGAAATATGTTTAGAGAAATTTGTCAAATCTCAACTGACGTGTGGAGAGATATAACAAGGGTTATGTGAGGGAAATTGTGCAGCTGGAGTTTTCTCAACAATCATCTCATCTTCTCATCTTCATTCACTATTTAGATGTTCAAGTTCACACAGTGTGTTTCCAACATACATTTTGTATGTCACATAGTGGAAGAGTGGTCCACGCAACCGACCGTATTTTGATTATTATCAAACTGCTAAAAGAAGTGCATTTCCTCTCGCAATTTTGTTAATTAATGTTTCGCCCACGTTGTTATTTCCAAACCTCCCACAGACATTCTTGCAAACCCTTGTTGTGACGGACACAGCCAACAAAACAATTAGACCAATAATTAAAAGATGCCAGGGTGCTCTAAAAAATAGAAAAAAGTAACTTTGTGACTGTCTGTCCAAGGCGCTATATAAAGGAAAAATAATACTTGAGTCTTTACAATTTCAGAATTTGTAACAGATTAACAGATAATTTAAATACATGTTCAAACCTTTAAAAAAAAAAACAAGGTTCTGGCGAAGTACGTGGAGGAGAGTGATGCCTTCACCACAGAAGTTTAGGTTTAGGTGAGTGTTTGGGCCTGTGTCCCGTCTAACTGTGTGTGTGTGTCTTGTCTTCCAAAAACGCCAAAACACTCTTGATGAGGTTCAAACGTGAGGATATGATCTAAAACATGATTTATTTTGAACAATTATAGTCTCCATTAGATCCTTCTTTTCTCCTTCTTTAGACCACAATAAACAAAGATGGTCTGGTCCTGCCTTCTACCATATCATACTGTCAATATGATTTTTTGGGTGATGGGGGGGCTTGGAAGGGGTTTGGAAGTACATCCGCGTCTGCTTCATCCAACCCCTTTTTCAAAACATGTATGTACCACATGTTTTATAACTGCACCTGTTATTTGTAGTATGAAGAGATTATGTGTTGAAATATACATTCTGAGTGATTGATTGCGAATTCAAGCATTTGGTTGCCCATTTGGGGAAAATCACATTCACTAATAGGAAAAGGACAGATTTAGACAGACAGGCACACAACGCCTCCACAAACACATGGCATTGTCACTGTGGTGAGGTAATGCATGCTGTCCCCTTGCGCTCCGAGAACCCTTCTTTTTTCCGCCCGTCTGAGAACCAGCTCGTTTGTGACTAGCTCTAAATATCACTAAAGCATCACTTTTAAAGGCTTCATTTCCAATCCAGTTACTCTCATTCCCCCAACCGCTTCAAATATGTTCCCCGTTATACTTCTCTCTGAGGCGTGACCCGAATAGATAAGTAATAATAAAATGCTTTTATTTTGAGGGATAAATTAGAGTGGGATGAGAAGAAAGCTTTGCCGAGCTGTGGTGGTCGTGGTGGTGGGAGGATGTGGGAACAGAAGAGATAGAGATGACGACGAAAGACAGCGGAAGCAATTTTCTTACAAAATGGTGACGAGAAAAAAAAAGTCGGTATCCATGGAGAGCGATAGTGATATATTTCTTGGGGGGAGATGTCCGCGTTCGGTGGCTTTTAATGATTGGCTCATTTTGATGCTGCTGCAGACTCTGACTTAAGAGAGATGGCTCAAATTACATGACGCCGCTTTGCCGGGTCTGACAAAGGCTGCACAGGGGTTGGTAGTTATGGTGTTTTTTTACTGAGAAACCAGAAAAATACAAGAAAATGGGTTGATCAATTATGTTGTCAACATAAAATAAGGTCTAATTGGCAATGAATAGAGGCTTTAAATGACAACGAAGGCTTGTGGTTGACAGATTGGAAACGTTTTTTAACTTTGTGTAAAAAAAAAAAAAAATACACTAATTAATATGGTGTAACGTTGTAAATAGAGAGATAAAAAAAATATATATTATTTTCTCTGAATGTCTATTTGTGATCAACAATATAAAGCACAACGGTAAATAAAACTTAAAACAGTAAATATGGCTTAAGACTCGTAGCACAGGCAGAAAAAAATATATAGATATGTTTTATAGTACCAAACAACTACAATATCTTTGGCCTGTAAAAAGTTATTTTAAAGCCCTGTGCGTGACGCTGTGTACTGTTGTCCTCTAAAGTGTGACATGTTATTTTCGATTAGCACTTCAGGACGACAATTAGAAAAGCTAATAAAAAATGACAGATTGCCCGAGGCCAGTTTCATTATAGAGTTTGTGAATGTGCCGTGACAACGACCGCACATGCGATTACGTTCACTGCGTGCCGAGCTCCGCATGCAAGAGTGGAACATGAACTCGGAGGTTGGTTGGTTCGTCACGTCATAGTTTAAATAAAAATGAATACTGCATGTTTTGTATTGATCTGTCTAATAAGTGTTAACATTAAAATCTTCACTGGTGGAACTTTAGGGAACCACCAAAAAAGCTTTATCTACTCTGATCTCCATTCTTTGGCCTTTATTATTTGCCCTTTTTATCTCGACTCTTTACTCGATCTTGTTTTGTTCAGCACTTTGAGGTGCCTTGTGTATAATTTGTGCTATACAAATAACCTTGCCTTGCCAATGCCTGATATGGACCCAATACAAGTGAAGTGAAGTGAAAACAGGTTTAAATGGTTGTTAGAATGTCGTTTATTGGTCTTTGGATATGACGGCCGTGGGTTTGATCCCTCCATAAAACATGTCACTGACTCCCTGTTGCTGTTTTTGTGTCCCAGGGAAAGACACTTAACCATGGACCCACCACCGGCAGGAGGATGGTGCAATGAGCCATTTCAGCGACCCAGAAATGGACTAATAAAGGGGATGAAAATGTATGAAAAAATTAAGTATCTGACGAAGGCATTGTGGCCAAAAAGTTTTTTATGAAAAATAATTGACTTCTGCATCTTGAGAGTGAGATGCTTTCCGGAAACTTTTCAAAAAAGGTTAGTGAGTGTTATTTCTTTTTCCCAAGTATTCTGAAAGTAACAAAAGAGCAAATTTTATTGAGTAAAAGTTCAACTCTGGGTTGATACCAACCAGTAAATAGTCTTATTACATCAAAATGAAGGATATTGGGAAACTTCCAATATCGGCACAGATACTGCTTCACTAAAACATAGTTTCCATGTTTCAGTGTGGTTTAATAACTCCATAGATCCAAGTATAGAACACAACACCAGGCCGTTATAACAAAGAAGGAAAGAAGATATTTCTGATGTATTTTTGGAGAAACTGCAGCTGTAATTTCAGTAAATGCAAAATAACTTTAATGGCATAATCATCCCTCTATACAGCTATAATAAATAGTAATCGTGTAGGAAATAAAACCAGACTGAATTCTGTGGTTTGAGTTTCACAAGTGTGTGGTGAACATACCGTTACTTTGTCTAAATCGGCTTCGGAAGAAGTGGGGGAGAGAGGGCTGATGGGGCTGAGGGAGGGAGAGCTTTCAACACTGGAGACGTGCTCAGGATCAGGAACGTACAGGACCTGTAAACACAAGCCACCATGTATTTACACAGGCCAAACACACACATGCACACACACACACACACACACACATACACACACACACACGGGGAGATAAAGACTTATCTCTGGTATATGCACACACCCATACACCTGGTTTATTCAAGGTAAATAATAAATCCCACTTTCACACACACACATGCAGAGGACAAACAGAGAGGGAAAATGATGATGATGACGATGATAATGATGGGAATGTATGATTCGTCCTGCTTGAGTTTCATCATTAGAAAAAATTATTCTTGATAAAATCATATAATCAAGAATTTGCTTTTTGTTTGGTTTCATGATAAAATTGCAGAAAATAGGAAAATATACTCGCTAATTAAATGCCTATCCTGCTTTTAATAATATGAAACCCGATTTTATATCTATTTTCCTTCCGCACCTGCTGTATGTCTGTGTAATGTAATAGAGATACTGATAATACCATCTCATATTCATTTCTAAACGATTTCCCTCTGCTTGTTAGGCCTGAATGAAAAATTAAGTACAGCGCTGCCGTGCAACGTGGATATAAGCCAATACAAAGGCCTGGGCAATCTATGGGGACATTAATAATAGCCTTAATTAGACCTGTGCAATATCGACCACATGGTAGAGGAATACAGGTCAAATGCATTCAAACTGCTAATGTGGTTATGATGGCAACTAAAGATTTTCTTACAATTAAAACCTTATACAGAGAGATTTGACCTAGATTAATACTAGATAATAAAACATTTAAAGCTGCAGCTGCACTCGCTATTGGATATTAATTGTTTGCACAGTGAGAAAGACAGGACTTTTGTCTGTTGACTCACTATAGCACTTTTATAAGAATATGATTGAGCCCTAATAAGTATGCATCCATGTGAGTAAAGTGATGCTGCATATATGTAGACAATGTTTGTGTGACGTCTGGCGGATGCGGTGCACACCTGGCCCGGCACGACCGCTCTGGAGAAAAGCTTGTTGAGCTGAACCAGCTCGTTGGGCGTGGTGTCAAACTTGAGTGCAATGCTGTTCAAAGTGTCCCGCGATTCCACCTGGACCACAAAATAAGAGAGAACACATCATCACACAGCTATAACCGGCAAAAAGGAAAGACAAAAACATTGTAGCAGGATATACTGGAGCGTTGCATGAGTTCTGCAGGACTGTGAACAAACCAAGCATCAGAGAGAGAAGACACACAGCACATGGCAGCTACACAAAGAAAACCCAAACGCAGAGACAAACAAAATTAATTAATTAACTTTGAGAGGTGAGAGATACAGCCCCAAAGATCTGAGTGGATACATATAGTGTTAGACTGCCTGATTCACTTCCTGTTTATAAGTCTCGTCTCAAGACTCACTTGTTCTCATTGGCTTTGAATTGATTTTGAATTGATTTTTTACTGTAAATAGTGTGTTTTTTGCTAATTGTAAAATCTTGTATGTCTTTTTATGTCCAGCACTTTGGTCAATCTTGTTGTTTTTATTAGTGCTTTATATATGAACTGGACGGGACCGGACATAAAATAAGATGAGATAAAAGAAACCATATATTCGTCCCACAGTCGGGAAATTTCAATGTTGCAGCGCACATACAGGACAGTTGTAAAAGCACACAGACAGGGAGCACACAAAATATACAATATACAGTAAGTAGCTGCTATTTTTCTAATGCTAGTAGTAAATGGAGGCAGTACAATTCAAACTCAGCATTTTAAATCCATCAAATTGTCTTCACTTTTTCATTGACTGATGCCTGTATATTTTTTGTTGGTTGCAGAGAACATCTTTTTTTTACTTTTTTGGCTGTAGCTGGGGTATCTTTTTTCTTGTTTTGAATTGTCATTGCCATCTGCCATGAGTTGTCACACCTTGAAATAATGCAAACAAAGACAATTATATATATATACAAAAATAATAACAAATCCATCCAATGTACAACAATATTTATCTCAATACATTACTAAAATACGCTATATACTGTATGAATTCACATCTATTACTTCTAATAATACAAATATTGACGTCATATTCCTATTACCCAGCTTTAGAGTGTCGCTGTCATAAAGAGACATTTTTCACACTCTTCTTCAAAAGGCTGTATTATTGTAGACCTTGTTTGTACTTGTGATGGATTTAGATTTTAGGAAATAAGCCCAGTCAGCTCGGGTGAACAGACTCCCATGGGACATAATATTGTTGGCAAAAATGTGAAGTGACAAGTACGTTAGTTCAACATCAAGTTAGTTTAACATCTGTGGAAACCCAGAGCCGAGAGTTAGTCGGATATTCATTTGATCACAAGCTCGAAACCCTTTTAACTATTGTTTCGTTTGATCAAATGCAAACGGTTCCCAAGAAAATAATTTGGGGATCCATCAAAATGCAATGTAGAAGACATATCCAAGCCCAGGGGTATCGTTCAGCAAATGAACAGGGCTTTGATAGAGAGAAGAATAATAGTCGCTAATTAAATATGAGAAAACAGATTAAGCTCCGAAGCCCCTGGGTAAACACAAGACAAGTTTTTTATGTACAACTCTAATTGTGAGTCTTCCTACTTACATGATGGTGCTGATTTGCTTGATTAGTTGGTTAGATCCCAAAAGGTCAGCATATAAGGTATTTTTTAAACATTTATCCAAAACAATACTGATGCCTTTGGAGACCATCTTCATAGAGATGACTTGTCACACATTGAGTGGTTTCAAAACTACTTAAACACATTTTATTTTCCTTCTACAGTCATTATGGAATTATAAAGTCATAAAAAAAAAAAATATGGAGTCATAAAACCTAAACATGTTTAAGTCTATGTAAAGTTCGAAAAGTGATTATTTGATTACTAAATATATAATATATAATTTAGTGATAGATTAGTTGCAGTGAATTGATTGTTATTTCATATACTGTATTCCTAGTCCAAATTCAAATATGAAATAGACTGAAGGCACCAGTGCTACAGGAGCTCAGCTGCGGCGGCGTGTGTGTGACACAGGTGTATTCCCTGTCTTAACCAGTTAACCTCCAAACGACACTGATCTCGCCACACGTCTGAACTAGTTAAGTATCTAACAAGCCCAGGGGGAGTTTCCAGCCTCCAAAGAAGGGGCGACAACCATGACAGGGAAGAAGCATTTAAGTCGTGAGAAATATGTTGTAGAATTGAAGCAGCAGCTCAGAGGAGGAGACGAGGTCGGCTCAGAGCAATTAGGACAGGGTATTGCCGCAGTGTGCTGTACTGTCCTGGGACGACTCTCTAAATGTTAGATATGTGAGCGCACATTTCAGCCTTTTAAGATGGAGCAGTTCAGAGAAATACTTGGCAAACAAAAAATTTGGAGTAAGCAACTTCATATGGTTCAAATAGATGAGTTTGATATATTTCATTTGGAAGTAGAGAGGTTCCCAATACGGAACATGTCTTTCCAGAAATTCAGGAAACAGCCAATAAAGAAGTTATTGGTGATAATACTGATTGTATGTACAGTTGATTTTAAATAGCACTGGTATAAAAAATACCTAAACGCAGCCTAATTATTTGGTTTAATTACAATACATTAAACTCCTATAGGAGTGTATACTGTTTTTTTATATACTGAGCTGAGACAATGTTCAATATTGAGATTACAATTATCAGATATTTATTAATAAGCCAGGGGGTCATAGACGATCCTATACAGATTGCGTTATGTCCCCTTCAGGTCAAATGCATTTACGGCACTGACATTTTAATTAATAAATCATAAATGACTTGGACTTAGGACTGAACGAAAACCCATTATGCACATGAGTCACTGGTTGTAGATCAATAGGGGGTGCAAGTGAGTCAACTGCGGTCTTTACATTGAATTGTGTTTAATTTAGTTTAAATTAGACTAACACATTCAGAGTTTGGAGACGCATACGATCAGTGCTGGTCTGAGATGCAAGGTATGACCATGTTTCCATTATTGAATATCCATGTAGGTTAGTTATGTGTGTAGCCTCATCTTTACTGTGACTGGGCTGGAGTTAAACTTGGTGTGAGCAGTGGATCCATACAGATGTTGTCTTAAATGTAGTACTTAGTAGTACTAGTGTACGGACAGGCCATATGGCAGGTGAGGTGTCTGCCGCGACTCCCCAGAAAAAAAATCTTAAATCGAACCTAATTTAAATTATATCATGTGGGCTGCTGTTGGTGGTCATACTGATAGCTCTTATTGTGTACTATAACGTCTATATGACATAATCAATAACATCTTACAAACATATATATAAAATATGTATATATATATATATATATATATATATATATATATATATATATATAAATAAATGACACCCACCACAATGTGTTGTTGTGTATCACACAAAAAAGCAAGTTCTCCTCTGAACACAGCATTTCCAGGTTTATATTTGTGCAGCAGACAGGCTGAAGTTGACTAATAAAATCCAAACAGACAGGGCTGAGCTGTAGAAAACTTGTGACACACTGAGTCATTGCTAACTTGTGTTTTCAAGCAGTCTTCTCGCAAGCAGACCAAAATCTACTGAGATTAAATTATGTTGTTTGTATTGTCACTTTTTTTCACGTAAACAAATGATCAGTTGATTAAGAAGACTGAGCCATCTCTGTGTGTTGTATGATGTTAAAGACCTTATGACGGGTTTGATTTATTTAGAAATACAGTTTTAATACCATTTTATATTAGAAGAGAACTACTAAAGGTTTCAAAATCAGTTGTTTTTTTTGTCTGATCCCCCCAAATCGAAATAACCCCATAGCAACGCCCTTAGAAACGAAAAAACTTCACAGCCCTTGGTGACGTCAGAACGGGTACGTTTCAATGCTGTAAGTTGTTTACAATTTGGTATTCGTTCTTTTTTTGCGGATATTCAAGATGACAAGGCCGTGTACAGCAAGTCTAAGATAACTACTAGATTATATCATTTCGTTGTCACTGAGATAGTCCAGTGGTTGTGTCGAAGGACTGTCAATCCAGATACTTGGGTTCAAATTCCACCTCGGACACTTTTTCACACTCAAAACGGCAATTTATGTGTAGTGAGCAATTTTCACCTGTAGAGTGCAGTATTGTGTTGGGCACCAGTGGAGAGAAGAGAGAAAAGGCAGTCCTGTGGCATAGATCCATGGTTTTCAATGCATGGGCGTAACCCGCTATGACGTCACACACAGGTTAGAGCATAGACAACTTAAATTCATAAAAAATCAGAATCAGAATCAGAATCATTTTTATTGCCAACGAAATTTAAATTTAAAATAGAGTTACAGTTACTATTTACAATATACAAGACACCAGCCGGTCCACCTCCCTCCTGTAGGCGGACTCATCGTTGTTGGAGATGAGTCCAATGAGGGTGGTGTCGTTCTTTTATAAAATATAGGATTTTTTTTGCCGGAATCTCTTTCAAATTGACATTGTCATGCAATTTTGATATCCACTATTTTTTTTTTTTAAACCCGTCATAAGGTCTTTAATTATCCAGTTTTAGGCTACTGTTTACAGCCTGTGTCCAGAACAAGGATCCAGGAGAAAAGCCTCACCTGAGTCTTTAGGTTACCAGTTGCTGATATCCATTTGGTTTAAACCCGTTTCTCTCTGATCTGATGAATGTTGTACCTATCTAAACCCTAAAGTATCTAAACCATAAAGTATCCAAACCCCAGTATCTTCACCAGCGGTCTCCAATTAACCTTTTATCCCCAGAGAGCTACTTTATCTGGACAGAAACGAGAGAGCTACGGCTTTGCAGCTGTGGAAAGAATTGTAGACTATACTATAGCCTGTGAAGTACAAGTAGATCAATCTTGTACATTATAAGTTTTATTATATTATGACATTTTAAATATTCATCTGATTATTTGTAAGCTGCGTTCACATGCATTCTCATAAATGCTGCATTGTCTGGCTCTGGGAAGAAAAACCTTTACTCTGAAGCAAAGATTGGTATTTATTAAATGCTGGTAGTTGTAATAATCCAATTGTCTGCCAAAATAAAATGTTAATTTGAGCTGATGTTTTTAAGAAAGGGAATTACAGGAT